ATGGAGGAAGCAGAAGCTTCAACAAACCCAAAACCAATGGCAAAGGAACCTGCTTTTTGCGAAGAGTGCAAAAATCACCCATCAAAGTACAAGTGTCCAGGTTGCTCACTCCGTTCTTGCAGTCTTCCATGTGTCAAAGCTCACAAGCAACGAACTGGCTGCAATGGAAAGAGAAACATGACCAAATTTGTTCCTCTCTCCGAGTTCGACGACAATCTCCTCATCTCTGGTACTCTCTTTCTTTAAATCTGTTTTTCTAAGTTTTATCACAATGCATTGTTGGACATTTCTTTCACCTGGGATTGAGGTTCCCTGTTGGAATTTGATGGTTTTAGTTATTATGGGATGCACTTTCTGTGTCCGTGAGAGGAATTTTAGGGGTTCCATTTGCTTTGATTAGAATTTGACTGCCATTTATCCCCCTCATTCTTCTCATTTCCAGGATGATTATTTCTTGCAGTGTGATTATAAATTGGTTAAGTACTTAGCTGTTTACCATTGAAAATTTGATTCCTCCATAAAGTTTGGCTGTTTCTTTAGGAATTGGCAGTTGGTTTGAGTTCATAATGGATTTGTTGGCATTTTTGAATAGTTTTTATGTTGCAACCATCTCCTGCTACCTATCTTCCTCTCATTCCCCTCTTTCTCCCTTCCTTTTTCTCCGACTTTAACACAGTTTTGTGTGTGGATCATACCTTTTTCATTGTCTGATAGAAGTCTCTTTGTGATTCTTTTTAAAGTGTAATGAAGTATACCTATTTTCCAACGTTTTTCCATTATTCTAAATGTTTTGTGGCATATTATGAGTAGATTATAATTTGCTTGAGGAAGTGAAGAGGATTGCCGAATCTGCACAAAGAACAAGAGCTAAATTATGTGGTTATTCTCATTTTAAGTTACCATTCGTCCTTCGAAGCCTTCGTAGTGCTGCTGCAAGTCGTGGAACAAAGCTATGGTTTCAACCAAGTGGGATGTCAAAGAGGGAAAAGAATCAAACTCGGTATATTCAAAGGTTATTGCTGCTTTTTGAAGAGCTCTACTGCCCATTATTTATTTGGCTACTTCAAATGCTGGTTCTATTCTTCCAACAGTATCTATATTTTGCTATCTTAAATGTGGAATCATACCATGTGACCTCTAACTTAACCCCTTGTTAAACCTTCAAGAACTGTTCCATGAATTTGAAAAAGTGAATTCTTCAAATTAATAGATGTTTTAGCATGGGATAAACTATTTTGGCCATCACTAGATTCAAGAAGCTTTAGTGTTGTGAGACAAAGGCTTTCCTCTTGAGCAAACAATTCTTTAATAGGTGCTATTTTTCCTTTCTGCCACAGGGAGAAGTTCATCTCATGGACAATTGAGTGGCGATTTCACTCAACAGATGTGGTTATAGTTGATCATGGGTAAGCTGTCCTACCACTTCTTTTTCTTCAGCAAAACTATTGTCTTCAAGTGGTTATTATTATTTTTTTTTTATTTAGAAAATGTGGTTAATATTCCATTCAGCAATCCTGCGATTGTTTGATCCCTTACTTCATAGCTGGCGAATATTAGTTTACAACTAATGAATTTTTGTTGTCTCAGAGTGAACGAAGAGAGGAACCTCTGCTCTGTAATTGAGAACCATCGGAAACCTGGCCCATGGATTCACCAGCTAAGGCATTTCTCTGAGGAGCAGCTGGAAAATCTCAAGTTTTTCATCCGAAAGTATCCAAAGGTGGTTTATTGTTGTTTTCTTTTTTTATTTCTCAATATGGATGTGGTTTTCATCCTTTCTTCCTTGGTCATATGGATGCTAGTTGGTCCTTGAATGTTTATTTTCGATTTTCAGAAAAGCATTTAGACCCAAAGTAAGTAGAGAAAACAAAATCTTGATTTCAGATGTCAATTACCTTTTATAATTATATCTGAAACTTTTTTATTATGTGTGTTTCTACTTTTTAGTTATGCTACTAGTTTTTCGCCACTTTGGATCTCTTTTTAGGTTTACTCGGCATTATTTTTATTTAGATTATTCTGTGTCACTTTTATAGTTTTGTTGTTTATTTGGAGGATATATGGTCATTATTGTCTTAAAGCCAGCATTTTGCTTTTGGCTATCCAATAATCATGATTGATTCACTGAAGTTTGATTACCACATCACCATGTTTCTGAATTTACCAATCTTTGAAAATTCTCTAGGTTGATGCTTATCAATTGATAATGTATTGATTTTTTCCTTTCTTTTCTGTTTACACGACATCTCTCTGTGTGTGCCACTGCAGGGACCCAAGTCACCTTTTCGTGAATTAGATACGAAGGCCCCAATAAGGAAACAGTTGGCCAATATTGTTATCGTGGAATATCCTGTAATTCATGTTTTTCTCCCTTCACATAGCTTTGATTTTGAAG